TAGGTTGCTCTGCTGTTTAAAAAAAAAGCCCCACAATAGAAACAAACATGTTTCTCAGAAAGAACAAGCAGCAGCAGCAGAGAGATGAGTGACCCTGCTGTTGCTTTTCAGAACAGACATTTTATTGTGCTCCATACTGGTTTATCCAGTCTGTGGTTTCATGGTTTTCTGCACTTTGGGCCAGATATCTCTTGTAGTTCTCTGAAGTTGTAATTATTACACCTTGTGCCTACAGGGCACAAACGAGTACAAAAGCAAGGAATCTAAAAGCAGGGGAAGAGGCAAGCCAGAGAGTTCATGTTTTTAGCTCTTTACCCCTAAAAGTCATCTTTTGTATAAAAGCTTTTTCAAGAAAGATTTACCTACTTGTAAATGTTCTGTACATGTAAAGGCAATGTAAACTTTGTTGTATAGATTTAGTAGATCTCCTGCTAGATGTGGCATAGAACTTTAATTGACCTAAACAGATCTTTGGGATTCAGATAATCTATCCTTACAAAATGCTATCTTAGAAATGGGTGGAGAAGTTACCTTGGGGAGCAAACTACCATTAACTGAGGCACTCTGTATAAGTGTGCAGTGAGAGGCATTTTATTTCATTTAATTTAACTTCTATTTTCTTTGAATTCTTAAATTCTAAGCTGATGCTGCTTTCTATCACCAAATGATTTTTTTTTTCCAAGGGCAGATACATTACAGAGCCTGGTATCAAAAACAGTCCGTCAGGCAAGCCTGTAGCATAGTATTGTATAGATAAAAACAGAGCAAGAAAAAGTAGGTCATTCTGCTGTATATGTTGAACAGAGTCTGTCATTGGAAACACTAGTTCATACTGAAAACAGTAAGGGTATACTTCTGAAAGTTTTGAAATATAATGCTTCTGGCAATACATCATCTTGGTTAGGAGAGCCTGATGTTTTCACATTTGGGATTTGCTTTGTGCTGGAGAGCCAGGAAGTTACCTGCAGTACAAACAGTCAATTCACAGATATGCTAAAATAGAGGCATATCACCATCTGGTTAAGTTTCACAACTTGGGGTAAATCACAAGAGAGCAAAAGCAGACTCTGCTGCAGTTAGACTTCCTCAGAGCCATGGAAAAGAGAGCTGCCGGTGCTTTTTCCCCTCTGCCCACAAAGCTTATTGTCTTAAGAGGAGTATACTGTTTATTGATTGTCACACTTTCTTTGGTTCCCGAATAAAAGGAGTGGGAGTGCAAGTGAGAGAGAGTGTGCACGCATGCATGGATGTGCATATTAGAGTTGTGTAAATAATGTATTTTTCAGTTTGGTGGCCTAATTGATAAGCAAAACCAGATCTGTGTGAAGTTAAATGTTTCACTCAGTTGAAAAACTTCAGATATTGGCTTATCTCATATTTTGTAGCTTGTCAATGCAACTGGAGCCTATTGTAAAAAAAACTATAATGGTATCACCGTGACTTACATCACTTAACCACCTGTTTCAAAATAAGGCCAGAGCAACAGCTGTTACAATAAAAATACTGTCTTATTCTGTTGTTTAAAAAAGTGAGAGAGAGAGAGAAGAAGAATCTACGTTTAGAATAAGGTTCACAAATGCAGATAGGAAAACTACTGAGAAGATAACAACTAAAATACTGCTAGCACTTTTCCTCCCCTCAACCTTTCCATCCCCCCTTACCGTAGGGGTATCCCCTTCTAAACTCCCATTTTACCATGCTTTGACTCACTGAGAGGCCACATCAGCAGCCATGAAATGTCAGGCAAGTGAACTGTTTTATTATTCTACCTCTCTCTCTCTCTCTTCCCTCCTCTAAAGAAGGAAGATAGACAGCTCCCATTCTTCCTCTGAGGCTACAAACAGATGTCGTTTTTGTTGCATAATCAGCAGTGCTGGGATGTGTCCAGGCACAGCTGATCCAGGTGCAGACGCTCAGAGCCAGCCTTAGGAGTGGGTGTAGTGTGGCCATTGGCCCTGTTTTATACCAGACCATCCTGTTTTAAAACCCTTTGTCCCCTCATCCATTTCAAAATGAGGAACCAATGGCAAAATGTCCTGTTTCTCAGTTCATTGGTGGCAATACATGTCAATCATTTATCTTCACGATTCTATTGGCTGTGCCTAGACATAGGGCAGCGCACAGCCAGGAGCAGCATGGTTCTAAGCCAGCCAAGCAGAGAGGTGGCCTTTTGTGGTGACCCTGCCCCCTGCTGCCAATTGGCCAAGGGGCCCAGTTGCTCCACCCTCACTGCTGATTGGCCAAGGAGGCGGTTGCCCTGCCCCTCACTGCTGATCGGCCTGGGGGGCAGTGGTTTCCCCCGACACCAGTGGGATGCCCTGTATTCTAGGGATGCCTCGGTCACTCTACATGGGTGACATGGGCGATTCCCCAGGGTGCCATGGTCAAGGGGGGGCCAAACACAACATAAGTGTGAGCAGCCTGCACTCACAGCAGCACTCTCCCCATGCCCTGCCCCATGCCAGCTGATCCCCAACCCAAGCAGGAAGAGTGGTGCCCATCCCAGTCTGCCTTCAGCTAGTGCAGGAGGAGCCAGGCCAGGCACGTGCAGCTGGGGTGGTGCCTGCTGCAGTCTGCCGCCTTGCTCCTGCACAGCAGCAGTGATGCCTGCCCACCTGCCTGCCTAGCACACCATACTGCTCTGCCTCTGTACCAGGCTACCCCATGCCCCTGTCTGTCTGCTTCTGCCTGCAGCAGTGCCACTTACTGGCAGGGGTGGGGAGGAAGACAAAATACAAGTTTGCCCAGGGCAGCATTTTCCCTATGGCTGGCTTTGAAGACAATGTCCAGGGCCATTGTCCCACAAGATTGGGAACCTGCTATTCCCAACACTTCAGGGCCCTGATCCTGCAGAGCAACAGCCCTAGCTGGCTGGCCAAATCCCAAGGTGCATGTCTGCAAGAATGGGGCAGGCTAGCCCATGGGATTCCCTTTCTCTGCAGCGCGGAACACACACTCTGAAATAATCTGCCTGGGGTACAGGTGCTGACTCCGTGTGTGCTCCAGGGCTCAAGCAACCACTGAAATACAGCATCCATGGAGCCACGCTTGCAGATGTTTAAAAAAAAAAATAAGAAGCACATTACTGGAAGAAGCACCACATTACTTCAGTCTGACTCTGCAGCATCTGTAAAAATTGGGCACTTCAGCAGGGCTTTTTGGCTCTTTTAGCTAAAGCTGAGTCAATCAGGTGTTACATAAAAATGCCAAAAAAGCCCCACTAAATTGCCTGATCTATACAGCTGTTGCAGAGATGGGTAGAAGTAACACACTGCCTCGTCTGGGCGTGCGCAGGTCTCAGCACAGGAATACACTGAATTAAAAGTAAGGTGCCATTTTGGGGGGGGGGGGGTTTTTTTTTTACTTTTGTGAACACCCACCAGCAAAAAAACAAAGTCAGCACCTATGTACCTGGAGAGTGCAGGCAGCCCCCACTTGCAGGGACTATACCAGAGGCAGTATGGTGCACCTGCTACTGTGCAGGAGCAAGGCAGAAAGACTGGAGCAGACACCACCCCACCTGGACATGCCCAGCCCAGCTCCTCTTAAGCAAAGATTCACCACAATCACATGGCACAAGCTACTACTAGGAATTATCACGCTTACATTTTAGGCATTTTGTTCATTTGCATTATGTTCCATAAAACATTTTCTGGCACAAGGGTGACGTCTGTTTGTAGCCTGAGTTCCTGTAAGAGTTATCAGATCCCCACATACCTACTGGCCTCTGTATTTCTCTATTCCTTTCTTTCCACACACTTCGAACTTCTGCCTTCACCCTTGCTGCCATATCACATTCCATTGCAACAAGCATTAGTTGCTTCTGCACCTCCTAAGTCTGCCTTCTACCGTTTACAAACCATGCAGACCTTCTGAGTCTGCCTCCTGCTCTGACCACACAGGTTTTTTGCTCTGTTTCCTTAATGCAGTTTGCTGGCCTCCTCCCCAATCCATGCCATTCCTGCCATCTGTACAATCCCTTAAATGGTGACAAAAGGATCAATGTCTCCCCTCTTAGGCCTCTGCCTTATTGGAAACAATGCAAAATGAAGACTATATATGTGGAGGGAAGCCTCATTTTCAGGTACAGAGTAGCCACCTTAGTGAGGGTAGCCTTCACTTAATCCTATTCACAATAGCAGGAGATAACAACTCGTATGGATAAGGGTAGATTGTTGCATGATTGATGGCAGGCATTATAAAAATTGCAGAACCATTTAGAAATATTGTGATGCTCTCAATAAAATCATCCAGGATGGCAATAATAAGTTTTGAGCAGAAGTAAATCATTTATGAGAAATTAGAATAGACTGAGAATACTTTTCCCTTCTCCCCCTCCACCCCGTCATAAAAATTCCATATATAATGACTTTGTAGCTTATTGGCAGAATTAGCAAGAGGCAAAGAGTGAATGGGCATAAACATCAAACTCCCCTTACACCCATCTGCAGGTGACTTTCAAAAGGTCAAAGCATCCCTACAGGTTTCAGTGGAGAAGTACAGTATCTTACTTACCTTGGTGTACCTGCTCAGTGCATACATAACTTAAGAACAAGATTTTTCAAAAGTCATAAGTGATTTCAGGTGCTTCAATTTCTGGGTATCCAACCTTAACATAGTCTGCATTTCAGAGTGTGGAAGCTTAATCACTTCAGAAAGTCCATTCCTCTTAGGTGCCTCAACCTGGGCAAAAATATGAGGCACTTGAAGCCAATATTTATCATCTGATCTGTTCTCCAGGTCCATTCTCCAAATCATCACAAGCACTAACTCAAAGTAAAAAGTTGAGTAAAGTTGGCTTGCTTTGAGAAAAGAAAACAATTCTGGTCATTTATCAAAAAAAAAAAAAACCCAATAAAACCAGTCTCTGCTAAAAATTGACAGCCATGACTGCCATTCCTGCAAAGCTTCCAAGAAGTAGAACCTTAGACTATCCTTGCTTCTTGAATTACTAGTTTATCACAGTGTGTCTGAGTATGTTGTTTTTGTGTTCTTCAAAGCTTCCGCAGGTTTACGCGATCTAATAGTGTAACAGCAGCTGTGCAAGCAGACCTGGATTTCCATGAGAACTTTGAAATATCATTGGATCCTCAAGAGGACACTTTGTACACTGGGCAAATATCAAGACAGTTTTCTCGAGATGCAAGCACCTCCACTGTTAGCATACAGGGGTCAGGGAACCATTATCATGCATGTGCGGTGGATGATGACTTTGATACAGATTTTGACCCTTCAATTTTACCTCCTCCTGACCCTTGGATTGATTCTATAACTGAAGATCCTCTGGAGGCTGTTCAAAGGTCAGTGTGTCACAGAGATGGACACTGGTTTCTGAAGCTTCTTCAGGCAGAGAGAGATCGCATGGAAGGCTGGTGCCAACAGATGGAAAGAGAAGAACAGGAAAACAACTTGCCTGAGGACAGTAAGTAATTGAATATAATAATATTGCTGGTAAAAAAATATTCTTTTAATACCAGATCCAGCCAGTCCATAGAAGTTAACAGGCATCTTTCCACTGACTTTCGATCAAGCCACTTTACAAGTACAATAATCAGACAGGTGTCAATACTCATTCTGCCTACCATAAAAAAATGAAGCCCAGGACCTTCAAGTGCAGATTCACATATCCCAGACTTGGAGCTGTGCTTAGATACAAGGTTTTGTTTGAGCCTTACCTTTCCAATGTATATCAACAATCTATGTTATTAATAAATATATACTAGAGCACATGCCACTACAATATTTTTCTCTTCAAGGGATGCAAATAATGAATGTCATGAATTAAGGAGTTTAATAGTGAAAGCTGAATGCATGCACAAACACACACAAAAATATTTTAAAACATACAACCGTACAATCTGTGTGCCTGCCATATATGGTAATGACAGATGGCAGGGGAAAACCTAATGACGTTTTACACGGCCATCAAAACAACTAGTCATCTAGCGAAAGTGGGCAAACTGAAAATTCATGGGGCTGATGTATACAAAGCTGTTACGTTTCTGTGCTAGAATTTCCTTGAAGTATTTCACAGTATTCATACTTACCAAGCTTTTAAATTGAACTGCCCATTAAAAAAAAAAATTGTTCTGGCCATTGAAAGTAGGAGTTATGTAGGCTAGTATCAGTGCCTCCATGTAACGCACAAAAATCACATGGTATATATAACCTGCAGATTCTTTATCTGCTTTTTAAATCTTTTTTTTTTTTTTTTTTTTTTTTTTTTT